TTTTTGAGAAATCTGGGGTCTATCAGACTCTAGATGTCTCCTCTTCCCTTACATTATCTAATCAAACCAAGATCAGTGTGATCAGATGCTTTCCCAATTTACAAATGGCGCTGTTTATATCCTGCGAAACTGAAGTGATGAAATGCTTGTAGCTTCCGAATTCTTAGATTATAGAGATGATTGGCACCACTCTGGTCTCCAATCAGCTCTATGGTCAGCTGGCAGAAACACCGGCTTCATTCTCAGGTTCCCCCGATGGCACGAGACTGCCCGAGAAGGCTGTGGAAGGCAGCGGGGGGGGGGTCATTGTCTTCTGCTGCTTGTAAAAGCAATCCTGCAGCTAATTAGCCACTAGGATTGCTTTTACATGAAAGCCGATCGCCGGCTGAAAAACATTATACCAGGATGATGCCTGCAGCTGTAGGCATCATCCTGGTATAATCATTCAAAGTCCAGTGATGTACCAGTACGTCGCTGGTCCTTGTTGGGTGTATATGCTATGTTCTTTTTTTTTTTTTGTATGCAGCCTGTGGACTGAATGAAAAAAAGAGAAGAAATCTCTGCCAGAAAAAGTGTGTGGTATGCCCACCATTAGAATATACCGCCCTGCATCCACCCACTTCTAATGGTGGGCACACATTAGGTCGCACAGTGCCACAAGTGCCAGTTCCAAGATTGTACAAATGTCTAAATAGTGGCACGCTTGAATAAAAATTGTCCACGTATAAGTGGTACCCCATATGGAGAAAGGATGACACCAAGTCCCAAACTATCTTGTCACTGCTCCCCATGTAGTCTGGGCATCCGGAGGGCTCCTCGTGACTATCTTTTCCCTCGTAAATCTAAAACTTACAGGCAGGGGCGGACTGACAACTCATGGGGCCCCCGGGCAATAGGGGATCATGGGGCCCCTGTGTCCTTGCCCAAACTCAACAAAGCCTATGAAAAAGGTACCAGGGCCATCTCATGGGGCCCCCTACTGACCCCGGGCCCTCGGGCAGTGCCCGAGTTTCCAAATGGTCAGTCCGCCCCTGCTTACAGGTGAAACTCGAACAATGAGAATATGGTGCAAAAGTTGATTTATTTCAGTGCAGCAACTTAAAAGGTGAAACTAATATATGAGACTCATTACATGCAAAGCAAGATAGTTCAAGCCGTGATTTGTCATCATTGTGATGATTATGGCTTACAGCTCATGAAAACCCCAAATCCACAATCTCAGAAAATGAGAATATTCCATGCAATCAATAAAACACGGATTGTACATAGAACAATATCGCACCTCTGAGAAGTAGAAGCTGCATATGTACTCAGTACTTGGTTGGGGCCCCTTTTGCAGCAATTACTGCCTCAATGCAGCGTGGCATGGAAGCTATCAGCCTGTGGCACTGCTGAGGTGTTATGGAAGACCAGGATGCTTCAATAGCGGCCTTCAGCTCTACTGCATTGTTCGGTCTCATGTCTCTCATCTTTCTCTTGGCAATGCCCCATAGATTCTCTATGGGGTTCAGGTCAGGCCAGTTTGCTGGCCAATCAAGCACAGTAATCCCACGGTCATTGAACCAGGATACTAGGGGCTCTACGGGCCTGTGTGCGAATTCTTGGTGGCTGCGGGACAATACTTGGGCTTGCCACCGCACCAGCTACTGCACTTATGGGACTCGCCACGTCGCCAAGTCATAGTGCAGTGCTGGTATTATTATTATTATACAGGATTTATATCGCACCAACAGTTTGCTCAGCGCTACAATATAACGGGAGACAATACAGCAACAATACTGTTCAATACAAAAGGGTTAGGAGGGCCTGATCCTGGGAGCTTACAATCTAAGAGATATGTGAAAGACCAGGATGTACTAGGCCAGTGGTGGGCAACCTTTTTTTTCAACTGAGCCAAATCTCGCCAAAACCACGATTGAAATTTATTTTGAGAGCCACATTTTTAAAACTGAAAATACATCCCCCATATAGTAATTCATCCCCCATAGTAATTCATCCCCCATATAGTAATTCATCCCCCATAGTAATTCATCCCCCATATAGTAATTCATCCCCCATATAGTAATTCATCCCCCATAGTAATTCATCCCCCATAGTAATTAATCCCCCATATAGTAATTCATCCCCCATAGTAATTCATCCCCCATATAGTAATTCATCCCCCATAGTAATTCATCCCCCATAGTAATTCATCCCCCCTATAGTAATTAATCCCCCATAGTAATTCATCCCCCATATAGTAATTCATCCCCCATATAGTAATTCATCCCCCATAGTAATTCATCCCCATAGTAATTCATCCCCCATAGTAATTCATAACCCATAGTAATTCATAACCCATAGTAATTCATCCCCCATATAGTAATTCATCCCCCATATAGTAATTCATCCCCCATAGTAATTAATCCCCCATATAGTAATTAATCCCCCATAGTAATTCATCCCCCATAGTAATTCATAACCCATAGTAATTCATCCCCCATATAGTAATTACTTTCCCATATAGTAATTCATCCCCCATATAGTAATTCATCCCCCATAGTAATTCATCCCCCATATAGTAATTCATCCCCCCTATAGTAATTCATCCCCCATATAGTAATTCATCCCCCATATAGTAATTCATCCCAACTATAGTAATTCATTCCCCATATAGTAATTCATCCCCCATATAGTAATTCATTCCCCATATAGTAATTCATTCCCCATATTGTGTCAATTTACTTACCTTTGCTCCGCGCCTTCCTCTTGCCGTGTTCCCGCACCGTTCCGGTCTTCAGGGCGGACTGTGAGAAGAGAGGAGTTCGTCACGCTGCCCCGCCTACATCCTGACAGCCAATGTTTGCCACGCTCCGCGGGCCGGATTAAAAGGTCCGCCGGGCCGTAGTTTGCCCATTGCTGGGCTAGCTGCAGAGTCCTGACTTTTGGGGCGGCGGAGGGAGGGGAGCGGGTGCCCGGCACACAGAAGAGCCGCATTAAAGTCTGTAAAGAGCCGCATGTGGCTCGCGAGCCGCGGCTTGCCGACCACTGTACTAGGCCACTAGTACTCACCAGTTCACCAAAAGGTAGCGCGGCATTAGTACTGGCACTCTGCTGCATATGAGAGTCATCAAAATTTACTGACAAGTGCTAACAGAGATCAGGCCTGATTCTGCCAACACTGCGGTTTCATCAAGTGACAGAGACCTACTGACACTGCACTTGCTGGGGGAGAAGGGGGGGGGAGGTAAGTGTAGGGGCTAAACGCAGGTGCTGGCAGGTGCCGGGCTAATCCCGCTAATGCTGCGTTTTTGGGGCTGAACGCTGGTATAATGCTGATCTGATCAAAGATATTGATCCATTCAGACACTATACTAGCAATGGAGGTTTATTGTGCATGAGCGTCTTCCTGGAAATCAAGGGGTTAAATGTGATGACTGGTGTACTGACAGGCAATCTGACGCTATCTGGGAGGGGTGTGAAAACCGCGGGATCGCCAATCACGTGTGTATATATATATATATATATATATATATACAGTATATATATGTGATTTTGTGCACCCGTGCCGCCCTGTAGCAGTATTTCGGTCAGGAAGCAGTTACAGAAGCGGTTTGTGTTACGTCGCTGCATTACTTTAACTGACAATTGCGTGTGGTCATGCAACGCTGCACCCAAATTAAATTTACGTGCTTTTTTCCCCACAAATTGAGCTTTTGTTGGGTGGTATTTGATCGCCTGTGCGGTTTTTATTTTTTGCGCTATAAAAAAAAAAGGCTGACAATTTTGAGAAAAAAAAATATTTTGGATTTTTTGCTATAAAATACGTCCAGTAAAAAATTTTTAAAATCAAATTTCATCATAAATTTCGGCCAAAATGTATTCTGCTCCATGTCTTTGCTAAAAAAAAAATCCCGATACGTGTAAATTAATTGATTTACGTGAAAGTTATAGCGTTTACAAATGGCGGTATACATACTCGGATTTTTAATTTTTTTATACTAATAATGGCGGCGATCAGTGACTTATGGCGGCGATCAGCGACTTATGGCGGGACTGCGGCGGACATTCTGACACTGGGGGGGACTGACTTGGGGTCACTGACATTCCCAGTGACACCAATACAGTGATCAGTGCAAAAAAAAAAACCACTGACACTGTAATAATGGCACTGGGGAGGAAGGGGTTAACATTTTTTTAGGCAATGAAAGGGTTAACTGTGTGAGGGGAGTGTTTTACTAGGGGGTGGACTGACCATTTGGAGACTCGAGCACTGCCCGAGGGCCCGGGGTCAGTAGGGGGCCCCATGTGATGCCCCTGGTACCTTTTTCATAGGCTTTTTTTTAGTTTGGGCAAGGACACAGGGGCCCCATGATCCCCTATTGCCCGGGGGCCCCATGAGTTGTCAGTCCGCCCCTGGGCAGGGGTGTGTACTGCACGGGAACATGCTGATCCCTAGAGATAAACTCTGCTCTCAGGATCAGTGTGCTCGGAACTGACAGAGAGCAGAGCTGCAGTGTAAACACTGCAGCCGTGCTCCCTGTCAGTGATTGCCAGTAATCATTGGGACCCGGCAGGTAATGACCGGCAGGTAATGATTGAGACCTGTGGCCGCGATCAGCGGCACAAGTATGGCGGGCGCGCGCCCCCCCTACCTGTTTTGCAGACTGACGTTTTAAAACGTCGTTCTGCGCAGCGGGGTTGCCCTGCCGCAGTATAAACACTGTGGCTGGTCGGCAATCAGGTAATAATATTAAAACAACAATAACAATTGCAATAATAATAATAATAACAATAATTCAGTCAATTATTTCTCTGTATTTGTTCAGCTGGAGTCCCCTCCGCAGCGCTTCTCCCGACCTTTCCCTGTTGTAGTGCACACAGGTGCCGCTAGAGGGCAGTAGTTGCCTGAAGTGTGTGGGGCCCCGTACAGTCTTGCCGGAGAGCACCATAGAGTTCCGCCCGGAAGTGATCGGTGTGGAAGCCGCACGTGGGTATTGCAGGTCCCGGTGATCGCGGTGATGGCGATGGGGAAGTCGGGGAAGCTGCGCTCCGGGGTGGCCGGAAAGGTGAAGCGATGGAAGAAGGGGCACAGCAGTGACAGCAATCCCGAGAACCGGAGACACCGGGAGGCCGCGAGGAGCCGATTCTTCAGCCGGACCTCCGGTGAGAGAGAGAGAGGGGTCACCGCACATTAGATTTATATTAATACATTATAGTCACATCATTATATCTGATAACTATAAAAATTATCATATTTGTCTTTTTTTTTCCCCAACATTTTACATTATTATTGCCGTTTAATATTTATTTCCTTATCGTCTATCATTATCATCATCCACCATCCTCATTGCAATAATATTTTTTAAATTAAGATTTTCATTACTTATTTTTATAATTTTTTTGCTTATTTTTATTATTCATATTTGTTTTTTTTATTAATTTTAATATTTTTATTTAAAATCTTATATTTTCTTTTTTTTTTTTAATTTATATTTTATTTTTTACATTTATTTTTTGCATATATATTGAGGAGTCAATTCTTCAGCCGGAACTCCAGTGAGAGAGAGGTCACCGCTCCATTAGTTTTATATTAATATATTCGCATTATTAAATCTGATAACTATAAAAATGATCATATTTGTCCTTTTTTTTTTTTTTTTCTCTCTTCTTTCAACATTTTACATTATTATTGCCGGTTAATATTTATTTCCTTATCGTCTATCATTATCATCATCCATCGTCCTCATCATTTCAATAATATTTTTTAAGTTAAGATTTTCATTACTTATTTTTTTTATTTATAATTTTTTTTTTATTTGTTTTATTTTAATAATTTTATTTTATATTTTCTTCTTTTTTTTTTTAATTTTATTTTTTTTTTTTTGCATATATATCGAGGAGTCAATTCTTTAGCCGGAACTCAAGTAAAAGAGAGAGAGAGGTCACTGCTCATTAGTTTTATATTAATATATTCGCATCATTATATCTGATAACAATAAAAATGATCAGATTTGTTTTTTTTTTTTTTTCCTCTCTTCTTTCAACATTTTACATTATTATTGCCGGTTAATATTTATTTCCTTATCGTCTATCAGTATCATCATCCATCGTCATCATTTCAATAATATTTTTTAAATTAAGATTTTCATTACTTATTTTTATAATTTTTTTGCATTTATATCGAGGGGTCAATTCTTCAGCCGGAACTCCGGTGAGAGAGAGAGAGGTCACCACTCATTAGTTTTTATATTAATATTTTCGCAACATTATATCTGATAACAATAAAAATGATCATATTTGTGTTTTTTTTTTTTTTTTTTTTTTTCAACATTTTACAATATTATTGCCGTTTTAATATAATTATTTCCTTATTGTCTGTCATTATCATCCATCATCATTTCAATAATCTTTTTTGAATTAAGATTTTTATTACTTATTTTTATTATTTATAATTATTTTTATGTATTATTATTTTTAATATTTTTAAATTTGATATTGTTTTTTTTAATCTATACTTTATGTATTTATTTATTTTTTTAAAGCGTGACGTGCGTTTGCGGGTGCCGTTCATGCTAATGTATGATGTATGGCAATCACCGGGTGCCGCGAGTAATGACCGGGCCGGGACTCTGTGATTGACAGCCGTAGCCGCGAATGGTGGCGCGGGTAGGGCGCGCACCCGCTACCTGGACATGCGAAATCGTGTGTATATATACGCGATTTTGCGCACCCATGCCGCCCTGTAGCAGTACGTCTGCTATAGGACAGATGGGAAGCGGTTACCCCACCCACCCCCCGATATTTTAGGATAGGTCGAAAGAGGTGAAATAAAAGGGGAAAATGCGCTTTGTTGTGTAATAGTTGCTCTCATCACCTCCGGCTCCATTTATATCACGGCTCCATGTCCATGTTTTCCAGGTAAAAGTGACCTGACGGTAGACGCTGTGAAGCTCCACAATGACCTGCAGTCGGGTTCCCTGTCCATACAGAAGAGGCCGGAGGAGCAGATGGAGGACGAGGAGGAAATGGCCATCACACAGAAATCCGGAGCCTCCTTCCTCAGCGGCCTCTCCGACTGCACCAATGTCACCTTCGGCAAAGTCCAGAGATTTTGGGAGTCCAACTCAGCCGCTCACAAGGAGGTGGGTGACGGTTCTCCCTGTCAGCACCGACATGCTGCTTTGTATTGCTCTGCCTAGCAGAGCAATACAAAGCAGCACGTCTACATAGTAAAACACTCCTAGCTACAGTTAACCCTTTGATCGCCCCACATTAACCCCTTCCTGCTCAGTGCCATTAGTACGGTGTCCGTGCTTTTTATTAGCACTGATCGCTGTATTGGTGTCACTGGGGATGTCCGTGACACCAAGTCAGGCCCCCCCCCCCCGCCGCAGTGTCAGAATGCCCGCCTCAGTCCCGATATAAGTCGCTGATTGCCGCCATTACTAGTATATAAAACAAAAATTCCTGCTGTCAGCAGAGATGTCTGCCTGTCCCTTACATTGGGGGTCAGTGGGAAGAATGTCCCTTACATTGGAGGTCAGTGGGAAGAATGTTCCTTACATTGGTGATCAGTGGGAAGAATGTTCCTTACATTGGGGGTCAGTGGGAAGAATGTCCCTTACATTGGGGGTCAGTGGGAAGAATGTCCCTTACATTGGGGGTCAGTGGGAAGAATGTTCCTTACATTGGAGGTCAGTGGGAAGAATGTCCCTTACATTGGGGTCAGTGGGAAGAATGTCCCTTACATTGGTGATCAGTGGGAAGAATGTCCCTTACATTGGAGGTCAGTGGGAAGAATGCCCCTTACATTGGTGATCAGTGGGAAGAATGTCCCCTTACATTGGAGGTCAGTGGGAAGAATGTCCCTTACATTGGAGGTCAGTGGGAAGAATGTCCCTTACATTGGTGGTCAGTGGGAAGAATGTCCCTACATTGGGGGTCAGTGGGAAGAATGTCCCTTACATTGGTGATCAGTGGGAAGAATGTCCCTTACATTGGGGGGTCAGTGGGAAGAATGTCCCTTACATTGGGGGGTCAGTGGGAAGAATGTCCCTTACATTGGTGGTCAGTGGGAAGAATGTCCCTTACATTGGTGGTCAGTGGGAAGAATGTCCCTTACATTGGTGATCAGTGGGAAGAATGTCCCTTACATTGGTGATCAGTGGGAAGAATGTCCCTTACATTGGGGGTCAGTGGGAAGAATGTCCCTTACATTGGTGGTCAGTGGGAAGAATGTCCCTTACATTGGTGGTCAGTGGGAAGAATGTCCCTTACATTGGTGATCAGTGGGAAGAATGTCCCTTACATCGGGGGTCAGTGGGAAGAATGTCCCTTACATTGGGGGTCAGTGGGAAGAATGTCCCTTACATTGGTGGTCAGTGGAAGAATGACCCTTACATTGGGGATCAGTGGGAAGAATGTCCCTTACATTGGGGGTCAGTGGGAAGAATGTCCCTTACATTGGGGGTCAGTGGGAAGAATGTCCCTTACATTGGGGGTCAGTGGGAAGAATGTCCCTTACATTGGGGGTCAGTGGGAAGAATGTCCCTTACATTGGGGGTCAGTGGGAAGAATGTCCCTTACATTGGGGGTCAGTGGGAAGAATGTCCCTTACATTGGGGGTCAGTGGGAAGAATGTCCCTTACATCGGTGATCAGTGGGAAGAATGCCCCTTACATTGGGGATCAGTGGGAAGAATGTCCCTTACATTGGGGGTCAGTGGGAAGAATGTCCCTTACATTGGGGGTCAGTGGGAAGAATGTCCCTTACATTGGGGGTCAGTGGGAAGAATGTCCTTTACATTGGTGATCAGTGGGAAGAATGTCCCTTACATTGGGGGTCAGTGGGAAGAATGTCCCTTACATTGGAGGTCAGTGGGAAGAATGTCCCTTACATTGGAGGTCAGTGGGAAGAATGTCCCTTACATTGGGGGTCAGTGGGAAGAATGTCCCTTACATTGGGGGTCAGTGGGAAGAATGTCCCTTACATTGGGGGTCAGTGGGAAGAATGTCCCTTACATTGGAGGTCAGTGGGAAGAATGTTCCTTACATTGGTGGTCAGTGGGAAGAATGTCCCTTACATTGGTGATCAGTGGGAAGAATGTCCCTTACATTGGAGGTCAGTGTGAAGAATGTTCCTTACATTGGTGGGTCAGTGGGAAGAATGTCCCTTACATTGGGGGTCAGTGGGAAGAATGTCCCTTACATTGGGGGTCAGTGGGAAGAATGTCCCTTACATTGGAGGTCAGTGGGAAGAATGTCCCTTACATTGGAGGTCAGTGGGAAGAATGTCCCTTACATTGGGGGTCAGTGGGAAGAATGTCCCTTACATTGGTGGTCAGTGGGAAGAATGTCCCTTACATTGGGGGTCAGTGGGAAGAATGTCCCTTACATTGGGGGTCAGTGGGAAGAATGTCCCTTACATTGGGGATCAGTGGGAAGAATGCTCCTTACATTGGTGGTCAGTGGGAAGAATGCTCCTTACATTGGTGATCAGTGGGAAGAATGCTCCTTACATTGGTGATCAGTGGGAAGAATGTCCCTTACATTGGGGGTCAGTGGGAAGAATGTCCCTTACATTGGGGATCAGTGGGAAAGAATGTCCCTTACATTGGTGATCAGTGGGAAAAATGCTCCTTACATTGGTGATCAGCAAAGTGTTTATAGTTTGCACCCGTGCAGCAATATGCTTTTATATAGGTATGCTCTGACAGTATGTTTTGTTGTCTTTGTCTGCCTCCTATCACTGATGGGAAGTTTATCTCTCCCTCCGGTCATGTCTGGTAGATCTGTGCGGTGTTGGCTGCAGTAACAGAAGTGATTCGCTCTCAGGGAGGAAAGGAGACAGAAACCGAATACTTTGCTGCTCTGGTGAGCGATTTCTCTGCATGTTTTGCCATTTATATATATCATTTTTTTTAATGTTCTGAATTATAATGCAAATATGCAATAAAATAGAAATAATAAAATGAAAATTTGTTTGTATCTTATTGCATATTTGCATTCTAGCGCAGCGCTGGGTGGACTTTTGTCTTTTATCAGCCAGACTAACTATGCAACTGTGTAACTATATCATAGACTCCATCTGTTGTTAACCCCTTCATGCCTGAGGGCAAAACAAATCTAAATGCCTAAGCACAATTTTGCAACTTTGACCTATGTTGGTAAAACCATCCGTGTCATCACAACTACTTTGTGCATCTGGGTGGATTATACCGCGTTGTTTTCAGGACAAATCGGGCTTTTATTTGGTGGTAAACGGTAGTGGATATCTCCTGTTTTGTTTTTGTTTTTTTTGTTTTTTTTTTAAATCAAAGGAAAAATGGCCCAAAATAGTAGAAAAAAAAAAAGAAATTTTTTTTTATTTAGCTGTCTTTCTTGTTACTACCATAACCTACCACCAAGGAACAACCCAAAGTAAATTCTCCAGCTCTTGACGATCGCAGCAATATCATAGATGTGGATTTTATTTGTTGTTTGTACTCATAGTGGAAGGCAGCAGGCAAGAGAGTGGTATGGTCCAGACAGAGGCCGTGGAAGGCAAGAGAGTGGTATGGTCTAGACAGAGGCCGTGGAAGGCAAGAGAGTGGTATGGTCCAGACAGAGGCCGTGGAAGGCAAGAGAGTGGCATGGTCCAGGCAGAGGTCGTGGAAGGCTAGAGAGTGATCAGGTCCAGGCAGAGGTCATGGCAGGCAGCAAGCAAGAGAGTAGTCAGGTCCAGGCAGAGGTCATGGCAGGCAGCAAGCAAGAGAGTGGGCAGGTCCAGGCAGAGGTCATGGTAGGCAGCAGGCAAGAGAGTGGTCAGGTCCAGGCACAGGGGTCATGGTAGGCAGCAGGCAAGAGAGTGGTCAGGTCCAGGCACAGGGGTCATGGTAGGCAGCAGGCAAGAGAGTGGTCAGGTTCAGGCAGCGGTCATGGCAGGTAAGAGAGTAGTTAGGTGTTTGTGGAGGGCAGTAAGAGGCTAGCCAGCTCATTCTTGGTCAGCAACTAACACGCACCTGATAGGCAAGTATTGTAGCTCTTTTGCACTCCGGTAGCTGGCGATGGGATGAAACTCCGGCCTGTTCAAAGGCTGCAGCTTAAATACCCTTCTGGTCAGAGGACACACCCAGCATAGTTACTGGGATCTCTGGAAGTCCTGGAGGCAACAGAGGTCCTCAGAATCCTGGAAGACCCCACGGGGATCCTGCGAGTACTGGAACCGGTACATTTCTAGGCCTTTCTGCATAGTGTTGCAACAGGAGCTCCTAGAGGAAAATCCTATATGCATAAGAAGACCATGCAAACTCCATGCACATAGTGTCCCTGGCTTCTTTTCTATCAGTGTAGCTGCCATAGGTCCAATCTTGGTTTAGTTATAGTTTCGTAGAGGATGTTCCTGCTCGCTTTGTCTTCCCTGTCCAGCGATCCCGAGGTCGCAGTTTGAGGAATGCTACAGCGGTTTCATTAGGCATTTGCCCACCAGTTAAGAAATATTTATTATGTTAAAGGTTTGTCTGCACCCTGCAGAACATGGAGACCATATTACTTGTATTACTTTCCGTAATAGTGGGGCAGCACAGAGGCTAAATGGTTAGCACTTCCGCCTGGCAGTACTAGGCTCGTTGGTTCGAATCCCAACCACGGCACCACCTGCATGGAGTTTGCATGTTTAGGTCTGGAGACATGCTTGGCCAGTCCATCACCTTTACCCTCAGCTTCTTTAGCAAGGCAGTGGTGGTCTTGGAGGTGTGTTTGGGGTCGTTATCATGTTGGAATACTGCCCTGCGGCCCAGTCTCCGAAGGGAGGGGATCATGCTCTGCTTCAGTATGTCACAGTACATGTTGGCATTCATGGTTCCCTCAATGAACTGTAGCCCCCCGGTGCTGGCAGCACTCATCCAGCCCCAGACCATGACGCCCCCACCACCATGCTTGCCTTAACCCTCTTGGGCATGGAGGTCACCAGAGCTTCACAGGTTGCCACTGGAGTCCTCTTCCACTCCTCCATGATGACATCACGGAGCTGGTGGATGTTAGAGACCTTGCGCTCCTCCACCTTCCGTTTGAGGATGCCCCACAGATGCCTCACATAGGGTTTAGGTCTGGAGACATGCTCGGCCAGTCCATCACCTTCACCCTCAGCTTCTTTGGCAAGGCAGTGGTGGTCTTGGAGGTGTGTTTGGGGTCGTTATCATGTTGGAATACTGCCCTGTGGCCCAGTCTCCGAAGGGAGGGGATCATGCTCTGCTTCAGCATATCACAGTACATGTTGGCATTCATGGTTCCCTCAATGATCTGTAGCCCCCCAGTGCCGGCAGAACTCATGCAGTCCCAGACCATGACACTCCCCACCACCATGCTTGACTGTAGGCAAGACACACTTGTCTTTGTACGCCTTGCCTGGTTGCCGCCACACACGCCTGACACCATCTGAACCAAATCAGTTGGTGTCATCAGACCACAGGAGATGGTTCCAGTAATCCATGTCCTTAGTCTGCTTGTCTTCAGCAAACTGCGGGCTTTCTTGTGCATCATCTTTAGAAGAGGCTTCCTTCTGGGACGACAGCCATGCAGACCAGTTTGATGCAGTGTGTGGCGTATGGTCTGAGCACTGACAGGTTGACCCCCCACCCCTACACCCTCTGCAGCAATGCTGGCAGCACTCATACATCTATTTCCCAACGACAACCTCTGGATATGACGCTGAGCACGTGCACTCAACTTCTTTGGTGGACCATGGCGAGGCCTGTTCTGAGGGGAACCTGTCCTGTTAAGCCGTGAGGTGCCATGCTGAACTTCCAGTGACCAGTATGACAGAGTGAGCGCGATAACATCAAATGTAACCCACCCGCTCCCCATTCACACCTGAGACCTTGTAACACTAAGGAGTCACATGACCCCGGGGAGGGAAAATGGCTAATTGGGCCCAATTTGGACCTTGTCACTTAGGGGTGGACTCACTTTTGTTGCCAGCGGTTTAGACATTAATGGCGGTGTGTTGAGTTATTTTGAGGGGACAGCAAATTTACATGTTATACAAGCTGTACACTGACTACGTCACATTGTAGCAAAGTGTCATTTCTTCAGTGTAGTCACATGAAAAGCTATCATAAAATGTTTACAAAAATGTGAGGGGGGGGGGGGGGACGACGACTCACTTCTGGGAGATACTGTAAATGTAAAGCGCTGTGTAAATTGACGGCGCTATAGAAGTCCCAGTACTAATAATCAATAATCATTTATTTCCTGTAGATGACCACTCTGGAAGCGGTCGAGTCGGCGGAGTCGCTGTCTGCTGTTGCCTACCTGCTGAACCTGGTCCTCAAAAGGTCAGTCTGTCTGTCTTTTCCCCATTGGTGACCGGGGCGTTGGTCCTTCATCTTCTAATAACTGGTGATGTATTTCAGGGTCCCCGGTCCTGTGCTGATTAAGAAGTTCTCCGACACATCCAAGGCCTTCATGGATATTATGTCCTCCCAGGCCACCAGCGGCAGCACCTCCGCTCTCAGATGGGTAAGTCGTGCTCTTCGTTTCCTCTTGTGTATAGATCTTCCTTCTAGAAAATAGAGACCCTGATCATGTCACCTAAATCTGATATGACATTTCATGGTAGAGGCTTCCTACATTTTTAGCGTATTCCTGTCTTTTATTGACGGCCAGTGACGTACCTGCAGGCATCATCCCAGTATTGTTTCTTGGGCTAGATCTGTAGATTGAAGCTTGAAACTCCAGTTTAAAAATGGCGCTGTTTACAAAACCGAAAGAGAGAATTCTCATCGTTTCCAATATTATAAAGAGCCACTCCGGTCTCCTCCTGCTGCTTGTAAAAGCAATCCAGCAGCTAATTATATATATATATAGTGTGTGTGTACAGTGAGGAACAGAAGTATTTGAACCCCCTGCGATTCTGCAAGTTCTCCCACTTCTCCATCATGGAGGGTCTGACATTCACATTGTAGGACATTCCCACTCTGAGGACAGAATTCAGGAGATCACATTGTATGATTTGTATAGAATGTATTTGTCTCGCACGGCTGAACAGAAGTATTTGAACCCCTGAGAAGATCCGTGTTAATATTATTTGGTACAGAAGCCTTTGTCTGCAATTACAGAGGTCAGACGTTTCCTGTAGTCCTTGGTCAGGTTTTCACTGCAACAGGGATTTTGGCCGACTCCTCCACACCGATCTCCTCTAGATCTGTCAGGTTTCGTGGCTGTCGCTGAGCAACACGGAGTTTCAGCTCCCTCCAAAGATGTTCTATTGGATTTAGGTGTGGAGACTGGCTAGGCCACTCCAGAACCTTGATATGCTTCTTACGGAGCCACTCCTGGGTTCTCCTGGCTGTGTGCTTCGGGTCGTTGTCATGTTGGAAGACCCAGCCACGACCCGTCTTCAATGCTCTGACTGAGGGAAGGAGGTTGTTGCTTAAAATCTCACAATAAATGGCCCCATTCATCCTCTCCTTAATACAGTGCAGTCGTCCTGTCCCCTTCGCAGAAAAGCACCCCCAAAGCATGATGTTACCACCCCCATGCTTCACAGTAGGGATGGTGTTCTTGGGATGCAACTCCTCCTTCTTTTTCCTCCAAACACGACGAGTGAAGTTTAGACCTAAAGGTTCTCCTTTGGTCTCATCTGACCACATGACTTTCTCCCATGCCTCTACTGGATCATCCAGATGGTCATTGGCAGACTTCAGACGGGCCTGGACATGTGATGACTGGAGCAGGGGAACCTTCAGACGGGCCTGGACATGTGATGACTGGAGCAGGGGAACCTTCAGACGGGCCTGGGCATGTGATGACTTGAGCAGGGGAACCTTCTGACGGGCCTGGACATGTGATGACTGGAGCAGGGGAGCCTTCAGACAGCCTGGACATGTGATGACTGGAGCAGGGGAACCTTCAGAGGGGCCTGGACATGTGATGACTGGAGCAGGGGAACCTTCAGACGGGCCTGGACATGTGATGACTTGAGCAGGGCAACCTTCAGACGGGCCTGGACATGTGATGACTGGAGCAGGGGAACCTTCCTGCAATGCATGATTGGAAACCATGACGGCGTAGTGTTCTACCGACAGTGACCTGTGAAACTGAGGTCCCAGCTCTCTTCATGTCATTGACCAGCTCCTCCCTTGTAGTTCTGGGCTGATTCCTCACCTTTCTTCTCATCAGTGATACCCCACGAGGGGACATCTTGCATGGAGCCCCAGTCCGAGGGAGACTGACAGTCGTCTTCAGCCTCTTCCATTTTCTAACAATTGCTCCAACAGTTGATCTATTTTCACCAAGCTGCTTGGCAATTGCCCCGTAGCCCTTTCCAGCCTTGTGGAGGTCCACAGTTTTGTCTCTGGTGTCTTCTGACAGCTCTTTGGTCTTGCCCATGGTAGTAGTTGGCGTCTGACTGACTGTGGGGTGGACAGGTGTCTTTAAAGAGCTCAGACAGGTGCTACTAAGTGAGATGAATGAGTGGAGTAGAGGGGGACTTTATAAAGGCGCAGTAACAGGTCTTTGAGAGCCAGAATTCTTGCTGCTTCTCAGGGGTTCAAATCCTTCTGTTCAGCCGTGCGAGACAAATACATTCTTTACAAATCATACAATGTGATCTCCTGAATTCTGTCCTCAGAGTGGGAATCCCCTACAATGTGAATGTCAGACCCTCCATGATGGAGAAGTGGGAGAACTTGCAGAATCGCAGGGGGTTCAAATACTTCTGTTCCTCACTGTATATGTGTGTGTATGTATATATATAACATATATATACATTCACATCAGTCCCTAACCCTCAAGGGAGCGTACAATCTAAGGTCCCTAACTCACATTCACACATACATATACTAGGGACAATTTAGACAGGAGCCAATTAACCTACCAGCATGTCTTTGGAGTGTGGGAGGAAACCAGGAGTACCCGGAGGAAACCCACGCAGGCACAGGGAGAACATGCAAACTCCAGGCAGGTGGTGCCGTGGTTGGGATTCGAATCAACAACCCCACGTACTGCCAGGCGGACGTGCTAACCATTTAGCCGCTGTGCTGCCCTTACGTCTGGAGCGTTTCTGAGCTTCGAGCTGAACAATGCTCAAGTGTGAACAGGGTCTCATTAAGGGACAAAAAAGGGTTGTGGAGTTTTTCATTTTTAGTGATGATCTCATCACTGGGAGTCCTAGAAAGAGAGAGAAAATAAATCTGGAGGCTTTTGTGTGATTCTCCAATTTTGATTATTTACATCTTCTCTCTTCAGATTGTTTCATGCTTGTCAGTTCTGCTCCGGAAACAGGACCTGTCGGCGTGGAGTTATCCTTCAACTCTTCAGGTGTTCCATGGCTTGCTGAGCTTCACCGTCCACGCAAAAACCAAAAGTAAGTCGTACGTCAGGAAATAACGAGAGACCATGGAAAATATTGGCTGGGATTGCACAGATTATGATCCTCCACCTGTGATTGGTTGTAGGTACGGAAAGCCGCTCAGCTTGGCGTCTGCTCCATCCTGAAGGGCAGCGAGTTCATGTTTGCCGATTCGGCCCAAGCTCACCATCCAGCGGCCCAGTCCACGGCCAAGTTCTGTATCCAGGAGATTGAGAAGTCGGGAGGTAAGTGTTGCATTGACAAAACACCACATACACACACATAAAAAAAAAACCAAAAAAAAATAACAACTCACACCAAATAAAAAAAAATATATAATAACCAAATATCAAATACCACACACATACCCCAAATACACACTACATAAAACATCCCACCAACCCCCCCCCCCACATACACCCACCCACCCCCCACACACACAACACCCCACACCCCAAAATAACCCACATACACACACACACAACCAGGAGCGTCCCCAGGGTTAGTGTCACTCACCATAAATATATAATAACAACCAATAAAACAAACCACACAATCAACAAACATACCCACTACACACACACACATACTACAACAAAACATACACACACACACAAACACAACACACACCAAACCCTACATACACACACAACATACCACACAACAAACCAAATACACATCACACAACCCAAAAACTACAACACACAAACACACAAAAAACACACACACAAAACAAAACAAAAACAACACATACTAAATACACACAAACACAACAACAACACAAACACACACAACTACTACATACATACAACAAAAAACACATACACACACAAACACACACAAAAACACACACACAACACACACACACACACATACATACATACATACAAACATACATACAAACACAAAAACACACATACAAACATAAAACACACACACAACACCACAACAAACAAACACACATATACTACATACAAAACACTACAACAACACACCAACACAGTGACGCCACATTTGGTGGTGAAGGCGGAAGTGATGTAACATTCTTTTGCTCCTGCTGTGTGATGAGACACCTAGCTGACAGGAAGCCTCACTTTCTTCATTCATTGCATGTGCTGCTAGTAATACGGATTCATATCAGCTTACTGAGCATGAAAGAAGGCAAATTGTTGGTGCCGCTTAGCTGGCGCCTCTGTGACTAAAGCTTCCAATTTATTTGCCGTGTTGCGAGGTACGAAGGCTATGACCGCGTATACGGGAAAACATCGTCTGATAAGCGCGGTCGGCGTGGTCAACTGACCAAAAGGACATTGCGCAGGATTGTGACCCGGAGTAAGAGAACTGCTGCAAAAGTGACTGCAGAGCTCAATCTCAGTCTTCCAAAGCCCATGTACGGAGGGAACTCCATAAGCAAAGCATTTCTGGGCGAGCCCACCATTTCAGACCACTAGTGACTGATATTAATGCTCAGAAGAGGAGAGATTTTGGCGTAACACCCATAAATGGTGGACTATCGATCGATGGCAGACTGTAATACGGTCCGATGAACCGAACTTCACACTGTTCCCAACCACCGGATGTGTTTACGTGGCCAACACCGTCCCACGTTTGCCACCAGGACTGTCTTGCGCCAAGGACTCGGCATGGTGGCGGCACAATCATGGTTTGGGCAACCATCTCTTGGTCTTCTGCAGCCATCATCATCACCACCTCGAAAAGGTGGAGTCACTGCCAGCCACAAATTGTACAAATATTGGCCGACCACGTGCACCCCATGGTGTTTCCCGAAGACAGCGCCATTTTCCAAGATGATAATGTTTGGATTCACACAGCTCGGTGTTGTCAGAATCTGATTTGACGAGCAGCCAGAAGTCTCGCACCTTCCCTGGGCCCCGCAGTTGTCGGGACCTCAATATCATGGAGCCTTATGAAATGGAAAACTCCCTAACCAGGAAAATCTACTGGGACTTTGTAGGCATCACACACAACAATACTACATGGAAATATTATTTAAAAAAAAAAAAGTTATACAATGTTTTTAAAAAAACCTGATTGTAGTACAAAAGTTGTACCTGTTATCCTGTATTTCTATCACAAGGGAGGTTTACATATCTTGTGATAATCCCGGGAGGACAGCACAGAGGCTGAATGGTTGGCACTTCCGCCTGGCAGTAGTCGGGTCGTTGGTTCGAATCCCAACCACGGCACCACCTGCCTTGGAGTTTGCATGTTCTCCCTGTGCCTGCGTGGGTTTCCTCCGGGTACTCTGGTTTCCTCCCACACTCCAAAGACATGCTGGTAGGTGAATTGGATCCTGTTCAAATTGTCCCTAGTATGTGTATGTATGAATGTGAGTTAGGGACCGTAGATTGTACTCCCCTTGAGGGTTAGGGACCGATGTGAATGTACAATATATATGTAAAGAGCTGCGTAAATTGATGGCGCTATATAAATACCTGAAATAAATTAAATAAATTGGTGTCAGCGGAGGAATAGTGCCCATCATTGGTGTCAGTGGGAGGAATAGTGCCCCATCATTGGTGCCAGTGGGAGGAATAGTGCCCCATTATTGGTGCCAGTGGGAGGAATAGTGCCCCATCATTGGTGTCAGTGGGAGGAATAGTGCCCCATCATTGGTGTCAGTGGGAGGAGTAGTGCCCCATCATTGGTGCCAGTGGGAGGAGTAGTAGTGCCCCATCATTGGTGCCAGTGGGAGGAATAGTAGTGCCCCATCATTGGTGTCAGTGGGAGGAATAGTGCCCCATCATTGGGTGTCAGTGGGAGGAATAGTGCCCCATCATTGGTGTCAGTGGGAGGAGTATAGTGCCCCATCATTGGTGTCAGTGGGAGGAGCAGTGCCCCATTATTGGTGTCAGTGGGAGGAATAGTGCCCCATCATTGGTGTCAGTGGGAGGAATAGTGCCCCATCATTGGTGTCAGTGGGAGGAATAGTGCCCCATCATTGGTATCAGTGGGAGGAATAGTGTCCCATCATTGGTGTCAGTGGGAGGAATAGTGCCCCATCATTGGTGTCGTCAGTGGGAGGAATAGTGCCCCATCATTGGTGTCAGTGGGAGGAATAGTGCCCCATCATTGGTGTCAGTGGGAGGAGTAGTGCCCCATCATTGGTGTCAGTGGGAGGAGCAGTGCCCCATATTGGTGTCAGTGGGAGGAATAGTGCCCCATCATTGGTGTCAGTGGGAGGAATAGTGTCCCATCATTGGTATCAGTGGGAGGAATAGTGCCCCATCATTGGTGTCAGTGGGAGGAATAGTGCCCCATCATTGGTGTCAGTGGGAGGAATAGTGCCCCATCATTGGTGTCAGTGGGAGGACTAGTATCCCGTCATTGGTATCAGTGGGAGGAATAGTGCCCCATCATTGGTATCAGTGGGAGGAATAGTGTCCCATCATTGGTGTCAGTGGGAGGAATAGTGCCCCATCATTGGTGTCAGTGGGAGGAATAGTGTCCCATCATTGGTGTCAGTGGGAGGACTAGTATCCCGTCATTGGTGTCAGTGGGAGGAATAGTGTCCCATCATTGGTGTCAGTGGGAGGACTAGTATCCCGTCATTGGTGTCAGTGGGGGGAATAGTGCTCCATCATTGGTGTCAGTGGGGAGGAATAGTGCCCCATCATTGGTGTCAGTGGGAGGAATAGTGTCCCATCATTGGTGTCAGTGGGAGGACTAGTATCCCGTCATTGGGGTACAATTCAAATACGCCGCAGTATCCAGACCTGGACGGCAGACAGTGAACTGAAAGTCTGATTGTTTGTGAACACCATTATTAAGTGTTGTATTGATGGGATAAATGCAGAACTTTGTGTCTTTTCCTTTGTCTGCAGGCAGTAAAGAAGCCACCACAACCCTTCACATGCTGACCCTGGCTGAAGGACCTGCTGCCATGCTTCCCGGTCAGTGTGGTCAAGTCTTGTTGTGAGACGTTGCTGAAGGTCATGACGGGGTGGGGCATCCATATACAAGACCTCCATCCAACCCGTATAGGATGGCTGACTGAACCGTTATATACGTGGAATTTATTATTTCTGCGGTGAGGCAGGTCTTCACACATCCGCGTAAATCCGCGAAAACGGATTTATTTATTACAGGTAATTATATGGCGCTCTTTACATATATATTGTACATTCACAATTCAGTCCCCCCGCCCCCGAGGAGCATACAATACATACACACATTCTAGGGACTTTAGACAGGATCCAATTCACACTACACAGCATGTCTTTGGAGGGTGGGAGGAAACCGGAGCACCCGGAGGAAACCCACGCAGGGAGAACATGCAAACTCCCAGGCAGGGTGGTGCCATGGTTGGGATATTCGAACCAGCGACTCCGGAGTACTGCCAGAGCGGAAGTGCTAACCATTTAGCCCCTCTTTCCCCAACTGCTCTCTCGGGTCTCTCTCCAATTGGAAAGTTTCCTTTTCCCAACGGCTTTTGCAGATCCCCAAAACACCCCGGGTGTGAATGGAGCCTTAGCCGGGGTTTACACTTCTGCAAGTGCGGCATATCGCATTCCTGTGCAAATCACATGCGAGTTCTGTGCGGTGCGATTTGAGTCGTACATCTTTATTGTATGGCTTCAAATTGCACACAACATTTGGCTCCTTAAACCACGTCCAGTCCAGCCGGATGTATATAATACGGCCAGACAGGTGTGCAGTGCAGGGGCGGGTTGCCGTTAATATAAAAAATAATTAAATAAATTAATAAAAATAATAATAAATTAATAATAAATAATAAAAAATATAAAATAAAAAAAAATTAATAAAAAAATATATAAATATATATAAAAATATATACAAAAATAAAAATAAAAATAAATAAATATAATAAAAAAAAATAAAAAAAATATATAAATAAAAAAAATAAAAATAATTAAATAATTAAAAATAAAAAAAAATAAAAAAAATATATAAAAAATAATTAAATAAAATAAAAAGATAATAATATATAAAATGGCCTCCCCGCCTCCTGCTTGTGTGTGCGCTCGTCTCTGTGAGCGTGGCAGCAACCATAGATCCGGGTGCCCGCTGGGCTCCTGCCGAAACACAGCAAGTTGAATACAGCCGATCGGACGGACGGGACTTCTGTGTGGAGGTCACCGATCATGTGATCACTGATTGGCCAATTGCTCATAAAATTTTCACATGGGTTACAGTGTTTTGCATGAGTTCAAGCGGCAATTGTCAGTCAAAAGTGTAGATAGCGCTGAAAGCTGAAAATTGGCCTGGTGGGGAAGGGGTGTGATAGTGTCCCGGACTGGAAGGGGTTGGGAAGTTTCCGGACTGGAAGGGTGTGAATGTGTCCGGACTGGAAAGGGGGGCGAAGTGGTCCGGACTGGGAGGTGGGAAAGTGTCCGGACTTGCAAGGGGGGGAAAGTTGATCTCCGGGACTGGAAGGGGGGAAAAGCGTTCCGGGACTGGAAGATGGTGGGAGAGTGTCCGGACTGGAAGGGGGGGAATGTGTCCGGGACTGGAAGGGGAGTTGAAGGTGTTCCGGACTGGATAGGGGTGGAAAGTGTCCGGACTGGAAGGGGGGAAGTGTCTGGGACATGGAAGGGGGTGAAGCATCCAGGGGACTGTATGGGGGGTGAAGCGTCCGTCCGGCCTGCAAGAGGGGGTGAAGCGTCCGGACTGGACAGGGTGGTGGAAAGACGTTCCGGACTGGAAGGGGGTGGTGAAACTGAAAGCGTCCCGGACTGGAAGGGGGTGAAAGGCCGTTCCGGACTGGAAGGGGGTGTGAAAGCCGTCCGGACTGGATAAGGGGGTGAAAAGCAGTACCGTGACTGGAAGGGGTGAATGTGAAAGCGTACGGCAACTGGAAGGTGGGTTGAAAGCGTCCGGACCTGGAAGGGGGTGACAAGATGTCCGGACTGGAAGGTGGGGTGAAAGCGGTTCCGGACTTGAAGGGGGTAGGAAAAGCGTCCGGACTGGATAAAGGGGGGGGTGAAAGCGTCCGGGACTGGCCCGGGGGGGTGACAGCGTCCGGACTGGTAAGGGGGGGTGAAGCGTTCCGGACCTGGAAGGGGGTGAAGTGATGTTGGAAAGCTGGTCCGGGAACTGGAAGGGGGTGTGAAAGCGTCCGGGACTGGAAGGGTGGGGGGAAAGCGTCCGGACTGGTACGGGGGGTGACAGCCGTTTCCGGAACTGTTAAAGAGGGGGTGAAAGCGTCCTGGACTGGAAGGGGGGTGTGGTGAGACACGGCGTCCGGACTGGAAGGGGGGGGGGAAAGCGTTCCGGACTGAAAAGGGTCAGGGGTGAAAGTGTCCGGACTGGAGAGGGTGGTGGACAGGGGGGGTGAAACAGCGTCCAGGACTGGAAGGGGGTGTGAGGGTGAATGAAAGCTGTCCGGACTGGAAGGGGGGGTTGCCAAAGCGGACTCCGGCACTGGAAGGGTGTGAAGCGTCGGTACTGGAAGGGTGTGAAAGCGTCCGGACTGGAAGGGTGTGAGAAAGCGTACGGACTGGAAGGGGGGTGAATGAAAGTCGTCCGGACTGGAAGGTAGGGGTGAAAGCAGTCCGGACTGGGAAAGGGGGGTGTGAAAGAGTCCGGACTGGACGGGCGGTTGAAAGCCGTCCGGAACTGGAAAGGGGGTGAACAGACGTCAGGACTGGAAGGGGGGGTGAAAGTGCGTCTGGCCATGGAAGAGTGGGTGTGTGAAAGCGTCCGGACAGGTAGGGGGTGAAAGCGTCTCCGGGAATGGAAGGGGGGTGAAAGCGTCCCGGACTGGGACAGGGGAGGGAGTGAAAGGCGTCCAGGACTGGAAGGGGGTAGTGAAAGCGTCTGGACAGGAAGGGGGGTGTGAAAGCGGTCTGGCACTGGAAGGGGGGGGGTGAAAGCGTTTCCGGACTGGAAGGGCGGTTGAAAAGCGTCCGGACTGGAAGGGATGGGTGAAAAGCGTCCTGGACTGGAAGGGGGGGATGAAAGCGTCCAGGACTGGAAGGGGGGAAGTGAAAGGCGTCTCGGACTGGAAGGGGGGTGAAAGGCTTTCCGGGACTGGAAGGGGGTAGGTGAAAGCGTGTCCGGACTGGGAAGGGGGTAATAAGCGTTCCGGACTGGCAAGTGGGCGTGATGTGAAAGCGTCCGGGACTGGAAGGGGGTGAAAAGCGTCCCCGGACGGAATGGGGGTGTTTGAAAGCTAGTCCGGGACTGGAAGGGGGGGTGTAAGCATCCGGACACTGGGAAAGTGGGGGTGTGTTGTGGGAAAGCGTCTCGGGACTGGAAGGGGGGGGGGAGAAAGCGTCCGGACTGTGGAAGGGGAGGGAGAACGAAAAGCTGTCCGGCCCGGGACTGGACAAGGGGGGGGGGAAAGCGTCCGGTACTGGGAATGGAAGGGGGGGGGGAAAGCGTCCCGGGGACTGGAGAGTTGAGGCGGGGAAAGCGGGTCCGGACTGGAAGGGGGGGGGGGGGGGAAAGCGTTCCTGGACTTGGAAGGGGGGGGGGGGGAAGCGCCGTACTGGAACTCTGGAAGGGGGGGGGAAAGCCGTCCGGACTGGAAGGGAGTTGAATGCGGTCCGGACTGGAAGGGGGTTGAAAGCGTCCGGACAGGGAAGGGGAGGGGGCGAGAAAGCGTCCGGGGACTGGACAGGGAGGGGGAAAGCGTTGTCTGGACTGGAAGGGTGGGCGTGGAAAGCGTCCGGACTGGGGAAGGGGGGGAAGAGCGTCCGGACTGGGAAGGGTGGGGGGGGAAAAGTGTCCTGGACTGGAAAGGGGAGTGAAAGCGTCCGGTGACTGGAAGGAGGGTGAAAGCGTCCAGGCACTGGAAGGGGTGGGGAGGAAAGCGTACCTGGACTGGCAAGGGGGGGGGGGGGAAAGCGTCCGGTACTGGAAGGGGGGTGAAAGCGTCCGGGACTGGAAGAGGGGGGGGGGGGAAAGCGTCCGGACTGGGAAGGGGTGGTGGGTGAAAGCGTTCAGGAACTGGATAGGTTGTGTGGTGAAAAGCGTCCGGGACTGGAATGGAGGGCAGTGTGAAAGCGTCCGGACTGTGAATGGGGGGAAGAAGCGTCCCGGACTGAAATGGTGGGGTGGACAGCCAGATCCCGGACTGGGAAGGGGGGGGTGAAAGCGTCCCGGACTGGTAAAGGGTTGGTGTCAAGCGTCCGGACTGGAAGGGGTGAAAGCGTCGGGGACCTGGACAAGGGGGGGAAAAAAGCGTCCCGCACTGGAAGGGGGGGAGGAAAGCTTCCGGACTGGAAGGGGGGGAAAGCGTCCGGACTGGAAGGGGGGGTGAAAGCGTCCGGACTGGACGGGGGTGAAAGCGTCCGGACTGGGAAGCGTCGGACTGAAGGGTGGTGAAAGCGTCTGGACTGGAAGTGGTTAA